CTAACAGCAGCAAGCTGTAGTTGGTTCTAATAGAAGGTTCTGGGTGGGAGGCAATTGGGTGAAATTCCTCACCACCCTGAACAGCTCAGTTGGATGGGATTTCACAGATGCAATAGATGCAGAATAGAAAGATTTCGTAGCTGCATCTATCGCAATTTGCTTTATTTGCTTTTATGTTGGGTAGAGGAACTGCACTTTCTTCAGAAATTGTATCAGAACATCACCATGTTGATAATTAGACTACGTGAAGGATGGGAATTATTATTCCTCCCTCATGGCATATGTATACTGTACAAAGTCAGAAAGGACTTGGTAAATGAGCAGATGTTGTAGAAGCAATCTTTGGCACGGTTAGAGCTGTTTGATAGTGGAACAGACTGTCAAGATGAGTGGTGGGAAATGGGGAAAGGTCTGAAAACCATGCCCTATGAGGAGATGCTTGGGGAGCTGGGTGTGTTTAGCCTAGAAAAGAGAAGGTTAGGACTGTTTGTGTCTATGGTCCAAAACACAGCAAAAATAATCTAATTTGACATCGCTTTAATTGCCCTTACTCAGTGCTAAGGAATCCTGGGAATTGTAGTTTGTTGTGGCAGCAGAGCTCTCTGACAGAGAAGGCTAAATGTCTCACAAAGCTATATTTCCCAGAATTTGCTAGCATTGAGCTAGGACAGTTAGAGCGGTTTCAAACTGGATTATTTCTGCAGTGTGCTCCTCCAAAGAGGAACTGTTGTCTAATAGCAAACCGTTTAACTCAGGACAAGTGCCTTAGAGATCAGCAGTTGCTGACTCTTTTGGTCCCTCTGGAGAGGGTCTGCACATTTTTCTAGCCTGGACAAGGTAAGCTGTGTGATAGGTTATGCTTTAAGCCTCTTTAAAACCAGAGGTGGGGAGAGTAAAGTCTTCAACTCCTTACCATTTCTCTGGTCTCCACTGATTCCCTGTGGAGCTAACTCACCCCATTTACATCAGTCTCAGTTACACTGTCATTGCACCAAGATTGCAAGCCCCTCATGTATATCAAACATGCTGTGTCCCAAATTTGACTACATATGTGTGCAATTCCCCCAACTGCACAGTAGGTGGCACTCATAGAACCAGGTTTAGGGCTCTGATCTTATCAGGACCCAAGTCACCAAGGCTGCATCCATGCTGCAGAAATAATCTGATTTGGTACCGTTATCTGGCCTGGCTCAATGCTATGGAATTCTGGCAAATGTAGTTTGTGGTGGCCATGTAGTGGCCACAGAGCAGAGCTCTCCTCCACTCTTCAGCCACCACAAATTTACAGACTTCTTGTTGTTAGCTGCCCTCGAGTCGGTTCCAACTCATGGTGACCCTGTGGATGAGACATCTCCAGGAATCCCTGTATTCCACTGCCTTGCCCAGATCCTGCAAGCCCTTGCCCATAACCCCCCTGGTTGAGCCCATCCATCTGGTCTATGGTCTTCCTCTCTTTCTTCTAAATTCTATCCTTTCCTATCATTTATTGTTTTTTCTAGTCAATGCCTTCTCATTATGTGGCCAAAGTACAATAGTCTCAACTTGAT